ATTGAGAAAGCAGAGGATTAATTAAAATTAAATGGAAACTAATGGCAATTAAATCAAAACGTATGGAAATCAATTGCAATTAAATCAACGATTACTTATCATGCGTTTATATTATAAGATTTCAAAACCGATTTAGAATTCCACAAACAAATATGCGCGCTGTAATCGACAAATTGCGCAAAATATTTTATACTTAATCTACATTTTTTTGAATCGCAAATTTATTATCGCCCTCTCGATTTATCTTCGTCTTTTTGCCGTTTTAATTACCATTAACGATTAGCGCGAAGAATCGACCGAAAACGAGAGAGCGAGAAAGTTATCGATGCTCTCGTGAAATCGGCATAAATTTCGGCTGCGTTCACAACGGCGAGGTATATCGACGGAAAATGGTGGACACAAGGGCGGGTCGGCTGCAGGGGTTGCGCGCGCCTCCGCAGATCAATATTTCATTTCAACCTCGGCAACCTCCGACCGCCACTCATCCCTTTCCCCCGCGCATCTTGCCGACTCCTCGTTCCCTACCCTTCGTCTTTTGCCGCTTCCCTCGCGACCTCGCGTATCTGCGTCTCGCCATCCTTCACCCCATCGTGTTTTCCCTTGTTTCCCTGCCTTTCCGCCCCTCACCCCGCGTTTCCCTCGCTTTCGCCTCATTCGCTCCCTCCATCGTCCCTCATTAGCCTTTTTTTGCTTCAAGCCCCGATGACTCTGTCATCGCGCGGAGTCAAATTGTTCTCGCATGCGAGACGTCTTGCATTATGATCACTGATGGCTACGATGGGATCCTTTAAAAATAGCCGGTTGACCGCTCGTAGAGCAAAAGTGAAATATCCGCGGGGATCCCAATTGTCTTTTTCGCTCACGGTGAAATTATGTTTCACGTGTAGAGATTCGAAATTAAATATTGAAAAATACTTTACTCGAAGCGCCCCGAACGTGTAGAATTTCCTCGACAAAATAAGCACGTTGACCTTAGCACCCATATTTTATGACAGTATCTAGGACTGATGTATGTCTCGTAGAAATTGACGTGGAATTGTCTTCGAGGAAAAATTTATAGACAGGTGACTCGTGTTCTTTTATCGCCTTTATTGATCAAGATACAGTTATTTGAGAGCATTTCGAGATCGAAAAACGTTCGCGGAATGACAGGTGATTTTTTTCTTTAGAATCGATCCGTCGAATCGGACCCTTAGCTTTGACGTGACGCCGACTTTAATCCAATTGTAATTTTACGATCGATGTTATATACGAGAGCGCCACGGTATTGCGCGTCGCTTTCGCTCCGCATTGTTTCAGTTATTCATTCGATACGGAACTGGTATTCGAAGCTGGCGTGTTCCCCAGAAAGGAAAAGGAGGGTGGCAGGAAGGGAGAGGGGGGGGGGGGTAAAAGTGCTCTCGTTCACATTTCTCGCTCTCCGACATTGCGTGTCGTTCAGATGCACCCCGGTTTTTCAGCAACGAGTCCTCGTGCCGTCGTTTTAGCAATAATAGCGCTTGACATATCGAAATCGGCACAATCAGCGTCGTGTCGATGAATTTCTATAATTAAAAATTACGCTTTGTACGTCCACTTTGCCATTTGCAATAACGAGATATTTTCTACAAATATCAATTGAAGTCGCTACAGCTATCTAATTTGCGTCTCTTCTATAAAGTTATATAAGAAAGTTATACTTCTCGGCTTTTACCTTATTTTTCATTATTGACGGATTATAAAAAACTATTGCTACATTACGTTAAGAAGATTACAAATTGAAAGGAATTAAAAGGATTATTATTAATAAACGTCTTGTTTAAATAAGCAGGATTTACTTGTGCATTTATATGGAAATTTTCGAAACTTGTCGATACGCTTAAACATCGTTGCTTAAATAATTATCGAGCAAAGTTACAAACTGAGGCTATAAAGTTTTAATTAACGATTTGTTCATATGTCAGAGGATGCGCAAATAAATTGTTACACGAAATCAGAGAATGTTGATATAAATTTATGGATGAACGCGATATGTTCGCATGTCAATAAATAAAACCGTTATTTAACTAGACGTTCGCACGCGTGCGATATGCAATATTTCGAGAAGAAATTGATAAATTATATTTTGGAAGCGCGAATATCTTTTCGGTGTAAATATACGGCTTGCGGCCGCATCCAACGCGTTCGTTTCACTAAATATAGAGGCGAGAATTACAAAACAGAATTTCTAGACACAAAGCAACGATAAAAGCAATATATTCTAAAATGTCATTACCTCTAAATAGGAAATTATAAGACGCACTTAACAGCAAACTTTGTGAATTGTAAGTAATAATAACAAAAAATTGTACGCCATAAATAATAATATTAACTATAAAAAGAGAAGAAATGGCAAAATATTCGTGAAATTAGATATAACGGAAAAGTGAAAAATATGATTATACATAATGTAATAAATGAAATTATTAGAAATGTCAGATTCGAAAATATTAAACATATAAATTAAAAACATATAAACTAATAATATATTAAAATAATATATTAAATATAATATACTAAATATAATATAAAAATAATATAATATAAAAATAATATAAAAATAAATATAATATACTAAAAATAATATATTAAACATATAAATTAAACATATAAATTGACGGCAATACGAGTCAAGTGTCGATGTCAAGTGATCGATCACGTTACACAGTTATTTATTGTATAAAAAATAAATATTAAAATAATAGATATAAAATAAATGAAAGTTATGTGAACACGTTGAACATTGAGGATCCCGTGAAACGAGTCGACGGAAGTTGTGAGATACGAAATACATTATATTCGCCAGTTAATTACGACACGAAGGAGAATGTGATTCGCACACGGTCTAATTTTCGAAGATATTCAAGGAGTGAATAATGCAAATCCGCGAGTAGACACGTTCGCGACCTGGAATTATTCGACGTTGGATTCGTTTCGCGGACAGAGGTGAAATTCGAAGATCGGCGAAAAATGTTTGTCGTTTGCGCGGTTTATCGGAGAAAGAATTTGTCACTAATGTATATCCGATGTCCCGAAACGGGCGAGAAACAACGTTACCGCGTACACTTGCGGGCGATTCATTTGCGTCGCATGCCATCCCGTGTTTATTCGGGCGTTGGGCTGAATAAACGCCATACTACGCCCCATTTAAATCTTCGCGAGGGTGAACGCGAAATTCGAGCGCGATTCGCGACTATGTCGGGATCGTTGCTCGCGCGACCGAAATGTATGTGCCTGTTTCTCACGTTCGATTTTTCACGCGGGGAACCATCGTTAGATCGATAAATTCATCCGACCGATGATACGTGGGATAGATTCACATTTTCGTATTCCATGCTTAAGCACACTTGAGTTCGAGTGTATTTCAAGTGTACTAGGTGGATCTTCTCAGCTGATATTAACGATGTTAACATTGTTTTCGTAATCGGAGACAGATCAAAGTTGAAAAGCTGTATATTTAACACTAAGGTACGAGGCCAAATGAATGAGTATCGGGTTTCACTCTGACGTTTTTATAGAATCTTAATTTCATAAATTCAATTTCAATTTCAAATTTATCTCGTATCCTTGGACTTATAGATATTTCGATTTCTTGACTTAATGTGTTCGTGAATCATAATATTTATGGACGTATCTGGACATGGACGTCATGTGAATCATTGTCTGCAGATTAAATACTTTCATTCACACGTGCTTAACAAATATTAATGTACGTCGATTAAATCAAAGACGCACATTTATTTGTTCACATATTCTTTGTCATATCACAAAAACGATATTCTTAATTATCTTGTTTTTTTTTAATATTCTTAATATCCTGCTTTTTTTACCAGTCGGTTGACGTCGACGAAAAATCCTGTCGCGTGGGATTTGAATTATCGTGGAAAAAAAGAGACACGGTTCAACGATCGCGAGAAGAACGAAAGGGCTTTTATGTTAATTTGGTGATCTCTCAGACCCACCCAACTAGCATTTATTTTAGACGCCGACCGAGCGTTCCTTCGCTCCTCAAATAGAAAAATGTCTTCTTCGCCTGTGCTATATCTCGAGCACCCTGCATAACTTACGACCATGCCGTGCCCCGCACTCTTGTATGCGTCATGGATCTGCTCGTGTCATGGATAATTTAGATCGCGAAATCATCTTTCTCATCATACATTTTCAATTGCATATTTTCCAAAAAATTAATAAAAAAGACTGCCATTATATACAATTTAGTCTCGGAAAATTGATAATTTCTTAAGACAATTGTGACGCCGTTGCAATCATTAGCCGCGGTTTTGCGCGGAAAGTCATTGGGAACAAGAAGAACGGCGCCAAGAGAAACGAGCAAAAAAGCGAGTGCTTCTTGCAGGTTAATTTTCGCATGAAATTACGCGGGACTCGAGACGAGTCGAAGTAGTAGGGCAGGAAGGTAGACGGAGAATATAGGCAGCCACGATTGACGGAGACACCCATGACAGACATTACAGACGTTTAACACGCGCGCATGCGAGAGCGAGCGAGCGAGAAAGAGAATGAGAGAGAGAGAGAGAAACGAAGCGCGAGATAGAGAAGATGAATAGTTGCGACGACGAAGGAAGTTTGCGAGAGAGACGGACGAATCAGATAGGCAGTTTCGAGGCGAGCAAGGAGTAAGCGAGACAGCGAGTCGAACGATCGAAAGAGCGAGCGAATAGTGGGAGCGGGACGGGAAACGGAGAGGGGAGAAAAAGGAAGGAAAAAGACGCGAGAGTCGTCACGACGACATCGTCGTCGTCGCGTGGTGCGCCGCGGCACGTCGGTCCCCGGGACACCGCGCCGCTGCCCCACCCAGCCTCGTCGGCCATGCCGGGGCCGCGAGCCGATCAATACTTCGGCTCGGGCACGAGGCGCGGCGGACGTGGCCGAGAGCGACCGAGCGCGGCCGAGGGCGACCGAACACTGCCGAGCGCGACCGAGCGCGGCCGAGCCCCGGCACGAGGCGAACCGAGTTTCCCACCGCGGGCGGCGTTGCCGGCTCAGTCGTTGCGCAGGAGTGGTCGCCGAGGGATGTGTGGTATCGTAATCGCGAGTGTGACCGAGGAATAAAGGGGACCGGCGTCGTAGTTTTCGCTCGCGTTCCATTCCTTCTCTCTTTCTCTCTCTCTTTCTCTCTCTCGCACGTCTGTCTCGCGCTCGCGCGGATATCGCAGTCGCCGTCGTCGTCGCGGCGTTCAAGTTCTTTTCTCGGCCCGATCCTCCGCGCGTTGGCCCGTTTTAGCCGGTACACGGATCCACGCGGATCGTGTGCTTTACTTCACTATTTATTGTACAAAGGACTATAAAGCATAGGTAAGTGCAAGCATTACGGTTCTACGTCGTACTTTTCATGTGCTTTTCTCTTTCCCCTCCATATCTGCCTATGCGTGCGTGTATTACGTGTGTGTGTGTGTATATGTGTGTGTGTGTGTACGTGTCTCCGTCTTGCTCCCTCTCAACCGCACGCTATAACGCGCAGGTCGGTCGGGGCCACTTCCACGCACTTCCTGTGTGACCGACTCGTCACCGACGGTCGCTGCCGTTTCTCGATCGTTCGCTCGTGCCTTATCATCGCTCTCGCGGGAATGCGCGAGCGAGGAGCCGGCCTATCGATCTCTGCGGCATCGTGTACTGCGTCGCAGAGCCGTCTCGTTCCACATCTCCGCATTGACGCGTAGTAGTCGGAGCTCTCGGGGCGCGCGACGTGGGATCGATTCCTCTCGATATCTCGTTCGAGCGTACGGTGTTCGTCGAGGCGGTTTTCCCGATCTCGATCGATCGCCGTCGCGATAATCGGCGACGAGGCGTCGCCGCCGGGGAATTTCGCTCTCGCTCCGTGAAAGTAGCGCCGTGGCGCTATCGCGGCTCCCTCCTTCCGAGATGGCCCCTCGTCCGTTGCTCGACTCGCGTTGGTACGCGGCCATAACCTCAAACTAGCGCGACACGACGCGACGAATAATTATTCCCCGCCCGTTCGCGACCTTCATCGGTGACAGAATCGTCCGTTCGCCTCCCACGAGACATTCTTTTATTTCGCGTAGGTAACTGTGTCTTTCGGCGACACTCGAGAGAATGTCTTCCTATGGGGTACCCTGCTATTGTACACGAGATATTAGATTTCTCGATAATTTGATGATATAACGAGAATTTGAAGAGTCATCATTTTCTCGCGCTGGCCTCTCATTGAGTATTTTGACAAATTGAATAAAATTTAAATTTATTCGGAATTCGAAAAGAATGAAACCTCATTTCGTGTTATTTCTGAGGCAAATCTATTTTAATTTCAATGAATTTTATCATTCTTAATAGTAAATTTTGATTTCAAATTTTATTATTCAATTTTCACATTCAATGATAGCAAATATTACGCGCAATATATTTCGCTCTATCGTTTTAATTTCATACGATCGTCCGTCTCTTTCCCTTTCCGTTGCGTCGATCGATCACTTAACATAATTATAAAGGTGAATAAAATTAGTAGCTGTCACCTTTTTTCTCCTATCGAGAGTAACGCAAAGATCCTACGCGTTGATCGATCGATAGCCTTGAGATCTCGTCAAATGTGAAGTCTGTGGTCGTATTCTCAGGTTGTATTTATAGTAGCAGTTCAATGTTATTTCATGCATCTATTTCACGTGACTATATTTATTGCGACAAGTAACGACGATCGATATCGACGGAGAATTTTTAGAACAAGAATTGAAGAATTTTAATCTTTCAATATCTCTGCAACTTTAACGATATCTCTTCTTCAATCGATATCGATTGTGGGCGCGAGGCGATATGCTCGAACGAGGAAAGAAATTATAGAATATTGATTTCTTCTCCTCTACGTCCTTAATTTTTCAAATCCTGCGCGGAAAGCAATTTCGCGAGTTATTGCATATAATGGAGGAACAAGTATAATAACTACTCGTAGCGTAGCATTTCGCGCGGGTATAGGTAGATATTAATTTTATCAGTCACCGTTTATCTACTACCTATATCATGTGTTTCAGTTGCTGATAACGCCAGTTCTTCGCGTATTTACGCAAACTTGAAGTTTGTAGCAAAGTCATACAATATTCTCCGTTTTCATTTCGTCAAAAATCACGGTTTATCGATGAAATATGACGGTCGATTGATATAATTCGTTTATAATATAGTTTTACATGACAGAGCCGATAAGTTTTTTAATTTATAATCTCCCAGAATTAATCACAATGTTTTTGCGGTATTATAAATATTTTCCATGAATGCCAATTATTAGAATAATACTGTCATTTACTTACTATTTTTTATATGTTTTTAATGCGAACGGATATGCATACACTCTTAACGTAGTCGTATGAATGGCATGTAACTATTTTAAATAATAATACTGTTTTTCCATTTATTTTAATCACTTTTCTGACTAAATTCTGCGTTGCTAATGTAATTTTTCAACAAAACAAAATGCGGAATATCCTAAAATTTTCTTAATTTAATGATTTCGATTAATTACTAGAATTGATATAATTAATATAATTATAGTATTTTTCTTATTTTTTTCTTATACGATATATTAAAAATAATTTGAACAAGATAAAAAATGATAAGGAAAATATTACAAAAGTAGAATGTTAATTAACTCTAATGAGGTATCACTTATATATAAAAATTACTTTTCTCTATAAATATAAACATTTGATCAATATTAAGTATTTTTTAATTTACTTCCAGGAACGATATCGTTAACGTTTATTTGTTTATTTCATCATATTACTATTTTCGTCGAGAAATTAGCTTAGTTAATTAACAACCGCGATCGTTGATATTAATGAATCGTGGCGCTATCGCGTGAGTATGGCAATGACGATTTACTCGGAATCGCAACCTCGTTGCCAGGCTGCGGGCATTCATAAAAGCTTACAAAAGCGTCGATTACCCACGCGTGACGCCAGCCGCATTCTTCTCTCGAGGCAGAATGGGAAAAGTGCATTTACTTTCAGGATCGAGTATCGATCTAACATATTTCGCCGGAAGGATGACGAAATGGAAAAACGTACTGCGTCAAACTGCGACACTAATTCCAAGTACTTCAACGAAACAACTGTCAAAATTTATAATCCTTCGGAATTAATTAACGGGAAATTTTTTGGATATTTAGTTAATGACATTCTTGGACCACTTTTATTTGATAAAGAAATAGCATATAATTATCAGCATACGCAGAAACAAATTCTCGATTAAATTACTGCTAATGATTTAAAAAGAAAAATTAGAGATGGATACAGAATGTTCCTAAATTCGCGATAAATATTTTGATGACAAAATATTCAAAAATTTCATTAAAAATCATGATCTTTAAATTTTTCCCATTTGAAACCTATCACAACCTTGACATTTTCGCGTTAGAATTTTTGTCTTAAAATGGTACAAAGAATTTGTCATTAAAATATTTATCGCGAATTTAGCAACATCCTGTATTATATATGCATGTATGTATAACTTGAAAGATTTATTCTAGCGCGCAATTTTCTCGGAAATAACTCGCCATTATCCGAGACACGCGACGATAATTTCGATAATTTCGATCTCCGGATAATCTTGGTGAGAATTGGAGCAAGTTTGCGCGCGCGCACGTCGCGCGAGATGCGTTTCGTTTTGCGAGAGTTCTACGCGCCAGAAATATTTCGACGGCGAAGCTCGTTCTCGTCGTCATCGTCGTCATCGTCATCGTCGTCGTCCGCTAAACTCACCGAAGCTAGGTGGATCGCGCGCGATTAAATATAGGCTGTGTAATACATCTACTTAGTTGCTCGCTCGCCCAATATTTCTGTCCTTCCTCGCGCGACCTGCTCCGTCTTCCGGTTCCCCGACGATCGATATTTATCACTCGATGTACGTATCGTTCATTAACCGACAGGTATTGCAGTAGGAATGTATGTGAAACAGATTTAGAAATTATAGACCTCGAATACGGTATCGCGAGATCGTTTACCTCTCGAGAGAAACCGCGTGCCTTACATATCCCGTACACATCTTTATATGTAATTTACTCCTCGCGTTCTCACGGCTAATTTGCAGTTCTGTTACCTTGATTGCGCATATACAAAGTTATCTTTCAGTCGTTCGTTTTCTTTCCTAATGAATTGCGATTTTTCATAATTACTTCACTGATGAGAAATTTAGTTGTAAACTGAAAAATTGCTATTTTTACTCATAAAATTCATTTGCAGAATAATGAGAAAAATGAGAAAGGAATTAACATCGCTGAGACTATATAGTTAATATTTATTTTTTCAATTCTTCTGGATAAGAAAAAATTAGCGATTACTTCTTAACAAAAAGAATATTTTTGACATAAAAATATTGTTTGTTTATCGGACAAGCATATATAATACATATAAATTATTTCGTATTTTGAAATTACTTTTGGATTAATTATTTTATCAATCGAAATTTGTTTTTTTCATTACACGCATTGTCTCGAGAAACCCGGTACTCGTGGAATGCCATTTTCCCCTTCTCTAAAGTACATCTCGAGAAAGCGGCGAATGTCATAAACCGGAAGTGTATTATGAAACCGGATCTCGGATTTTTTCGTCGTCCGTGGCACGAAATTCTTTTGCCTCACTTATTTTTATAAAAGAATCTTTCGTTCGCTTAAATATAGAACGTCGACAATGTCGAGTATTAATGTCGAGCATTAAATTTATTGCCCTATCATAAATTTATTATGCGATTTGCGAAAGCGAAATTTATGGATTTATTCGCCAGGCATCGAAATGAAATGATTTTTGGAATTAAAACTCTGTGCGCGGACTTAAATGATGACAATCGATAGAGTAGATTTAGAAATTTTCGAGATACAGAATCAAAATTTTAAAATTTTATAGTATTAGAAATTAATAATTGAAAAATAATCTTTCTGCAATTAACGATACATATAAAAGCAGAGGTATATTAAAGATACAGTTCGAAACGATTTATTACATTGAGAATGTATGACATCTGAAACTCTTATTACAAGTTTTATGACATTAAATAAAATTTGTTAAATGCAATTTGTTTCTTTTAACATTTTTACGACATTAAATAAAATTTGTAAAATGTAATATTTTGATTCTTTGAAGATTTATCAAATAGGAAATATACAGATACGCCAAAAAATTTAGAATTTAAATTTATTTGATTATTCGATTGATGATTTTAAAATATCGACTTAAAAATTTTATATATATATAAATCGTGAACAATAATATATTTATACAATTATTTGATAAATGATACACGTGCAAAAATTATCACGGGAGAATTTCGTTATTTTTTCACTCGAAGTTTCCTATAGT